ATGCAGGGCCCCAAGGTCTCGCGTCACTCTCTGCTGATTTCTCTATCAGCAGGCAGTTGGGTCAGAAGAAGCACAACCGGCATACAAACTGACACCCGTATGGGATGCCAGTGTCGGAAAGTGGGGCATTAACCTGTTATTCCACCATGTCGGCCTCCATAAATATAGATTTTTTTAAATTGAAAGAATGTCTGGAGAGATTTGACTTTGTATTTTTTTCACCTCATTTTTCTAGACAAAGCTGTTGAGTTTCCAGTGATGCAGTCAGTGATGCAGTGATGGAAGGGGTTTGGAGTTGGAATGAGACAAACCAGAACCTCATATGCCAGGGCGCAGAGTGAGGAAAAACTTAAGAACCACTGGAGCAGGGACTGAAGATTGACTGCTTGGTTATTCAGAAGATTCATTTGAACTTCAGACAACAGTGAACTATTTTAGCAAAAGAAACCGAAATAGTAATAGGAACAAGGTTGTAAAGCACTTAGATACAATTTTTGTTAGGAAAAAATATATAAGATCAAGGAAGCTCTTTGAGGAACAAGGATGGAGAAGAATTGCCATTTTCTTGCATTAAATAAAATTCTTAAGAGGTCATTGTTATTGGACCAATTTTTTTGCACTAGGCCTCAGTATGAGAGCTGTGAACTGGGTCAGCTTTCAAAACCAAAACCAAAGCAAATAAGAACCAAAGCAGGGAATTCATAGCAGTCAGGCCTTGTCTGTGTAGGTGTGATAAAGAGGTTGGTTCTGCTGTAACCGTTTAAGGAGGGTAACTGTGAAACAGGCCCTTTCTGTCCTTACTTTTGTTTCCTCAACACTTTTGTGTCTGTGAAGCCCCATCCCTCTGCTCAGCTTATCAGGACACCTTTCTAGACCAGGACACTTATACAAAATGAGATATCGCCCATTTCTAGAACAGCTGAAGATAATTCAGTCCTTAAAGAAAGTGTGTTTTAATTTTATTTTTGACATGTGCCAGATATCCGCAGTTTAAACTTAGAAAGCAAAAGGAAATTTTTTTTTTCTTTTACTATTTCTTTTTCTTTTCTCCTCTTCCCTGCAATCACTCTCTCTCTCTCTCTACCCATCCCGCCTTGTCTTTTTATCTAGATCTGACAGTGCTTACTGCATCCCTGTCCATTGTGGCTATATCACCAGGGATGTATACCTGCTTTGTGTAGGGGCGTGGCTCTTCAAGGCTATTGATTTTGCAGTCTATAGAGATTATTGCATTTCCCTGCCCTTCCCCACTGACATAGTATTCTTCACACAACAGTAAAAGTGAATGATTCAAATTTTGACTTACATAGAAAAGTTAATAGAAGTGTGAATGTTGGGGCTGTTGTGATGGCTCAGTCGGCTAACCCTCCACCTGGAAGCCTCAACATCCCATGTGGTCACCAATTCATGTCCTGGCTGCTCCATTCCCCATCCAGCTCCAATTTTGTGGCCTGAGAAAGTAGTAGAGGATGGCCCAAGTCCTTGGAACTCTGCACCTGCATGGGCAACCCAGAAGAAACTTCTGTCTCCTGGCTTCAGATTGGCTCAGCTCTAGTCGTTGAGGCCATTTGGAGAGTGAATTAATGGATAGAAGATCTTTCTGTTTCTCCTTCTCTCTGTAAATCTGCCTTTCCAATAAAAACAAATAAACCTTTAAGAAGCAAAGTGTGAATATTGTCAATGGGATTTCTTGCAATTGCTCACCGAAGCTCACAAAAGGCTGCAGAAATCTTTTGTAATCGCAGTGACAGCAGTTATAGTTTTATTGTGAGTTGGCTCCTGCTAAGTAAATAACTAAAAATTTCCCACCAATCTCTATCATTCCATATTCTCAATGTCATTACCCTGGTTATGGTTGGTATAATAGTCCAGGAATGACTCAGAGAACTTGAACTCCAGAGTTTGTTCACAGAGCCTTTCCAAGCTTTAGGACTGGATTCGGAGGAACCTGCTTATCTGCTTAGTCAGGCAGTACCTAAGGCATTAAATTTGTAATGGAAACTTGGAATCTTTCTCCCAAACAGATCTATGAGAACTCTTGATGAGTTAGAGTAAACCTTTAAAATCTGGAACAATAGGAAAAACACCCAAGATTAATTTCAAACTCTCAAAAAACACTTCTTAAAGGTAGCTTCTTAAAGGTAGCCGAATCAGCTTTGAAAATGCTCTTCCCTGAGTGAGAAGGAAGTTACTTTGAGTGGATTAAAAAATTACACTTGTGCATTTCTGAGCTCTGGAACTAAAATGGGCTAAATACCTCTGAAACTACACACACACACACACACACACACACACACACACACACACACACACACACACACAATGTGAATGGAATTACTTCAGTGCAAAAATCTGTTGGCTGTGTGACCTCAAACGTATGTCAAATCAAACTGTTCATCTGATTCTGATTCTGAGGCCACCACCTTAATCCAGCTGTTGTTTGTAAAAGCTGCATCAGGCCCTTCTACCCAGACTCATGTCTGTATCCTATGACCTCCAGGCAGTAGCCAGTGTCACCTTCCACTGTGTATGTGACATCACAGTGCTTCTCTGTCTATTTCCTGCTTACAGTTCTGCTTGAGAGAAGTTTGGATCTGACTTGAATATAACCTTTAACCCAAATATTCTACCACCCATAAACACTTGTCACTTTCTTTCCAGTACTCTTAAACTCTTATCAGAATACATACATCTTTTAAATGTATTAAACTCTTATCATAATACATACATCTTTTAAATGTATTACTTATTTTTTGTTATCTTACCTACCAGATCATACACCACAAAAGTTCAGGGGGCTCTCTTTATGTCTCATTGGTCTCTGCTTCTCAGTGTCAAACTTAACAATTGGCATACAGCAGACTTCTACCTTTATTGTCTCTTAAGTAAAAATTGCAAACATGCAGCAATGAGAATATCACAACGAACTCCTAAATATCCAGCACTTAGTATCTATTACATTTTATTCATCCTATGCTTATTCATTGTTACATCCCTACATCTCTAACAGTATATGGCTGAATCAGAAAACTTGTTGAATGGATGAAAATGGTTTATTCTGAGATTGGCTCAACACAACCTTTGTTTTTGTATGAATGTAGGGTTTGCAAAACTGTGTAAAATTCTCTAGGGTGTGGGTCTGCTAAACTCTGAGCCAGGCATCGGCTCAGATACTGGGTATTCAGAAATTAAGACGAGTCTCCTGCCTTTCAGGAATATACTGGTGACAGGACATAAATACGTTTGTGATGGAAGAAGAGACAAGCAGAAAATGTGTACAGTGATTTGGGTTTTCACAAACAATAAAGAGACTGATTGTAGCTGTATGCTGGCTGTTGTAAATGCCTGGTTTCTTGTGGTTTTTTTTTTTTGTTGTTGTTGCACAAGCAGAAAAGAACAATTGCTCACCTGACCAGGGAAGGAAGAGTTCATGATTTTTATTTCAGTGAGTCACAAATGCAAGCCCATTGGAACTGTGGGAACCTCACCCCTGTGCCCTTTAAAACACTGCCCATGCCATTGCAATATCAAAGTAACAGAAGCAAAAGAAAAGCATGTAACAAGTGTTTGTAATCTAGGCTAACTCTAGTCAAGGTAAAGAATGTCTTTGCCAAACCTAGAAAATTAATGCAGCAGGCGGGGCAGATGGAGCTCTCTTTTCTTCTCCACTGCACACAGACTGATTTTTCCAGACTAAGCTTGATTATGTCTTTTGGAGCCTGTGTTTATTATTTGAATGCTTTGGAGGTAATGCTTGCCTTTGAAGTGACATTCTGGGGCAGTGCTTCCACTAATCTATTATTAAGCCCTACTGTGTCTATTCATGTTTATTTTAACTCCCTTATTTTTAGAAGGAAGATTTTGAGAAGGTCAAAGCAGCATCTTTGTGATTGAATTCCAAGAGTACTTAGCAGGGGTCCATGTATCTAAGGATGTTGGATCATTGTGAACTGGGAGTGCATCCAAGTCCACGCTTAACTGAGAATCCACTGCTAAATATTTAAAAGTGAAAGCATTGTTTCAGATTAGGCATGGTGAATCCCAAATGTTTCAGTATGGAAATATAGCAGCAAAGGTGACAGCCGGGACCTGGGTTTGTTGTCCTCCAAGGCTGGCTTGTCCTCATACTCTCTCCTTTGATTTGATGGTTTTGCCTTCTGTCCTATCAGTGGTACTACTCCATCAGTGCTCATGAGCTCATGCAATCCTCCCATGGGCTTCTCTGTGACAAATATTTGCAAGACCCATTGTAATCCTGACCTGGATTTGCATTCTTGTTATACTGCTTATAGCTAATTGACCTTGAATAAGCAATGCAACTTTTTCAAGTTCAAGGCTTTATAGCTCTAAATGGGAGATCTCAGCAAGTATTTCAACATGTAAAATGCATTCATGATGAGCAGTCCTTTGACACGTGGCAGTAACATTTTAAGATCAACTGTCAGACCCAGCACTGTGGCCTAGCGGCTAAAGTCCTCGTCTTGAACGTGCCAGGATCCCAAATGAACACTGGTTCTAATCCCGGCAACTCCACTTCCCATCCAGCTCCCTGCTGGTGGCCTGGGAAAGCCTTGGGACCCTGCACCTGCGTGGGAGACCCGGAAGAGGTTCCAGGTTCCCATCTTCAGATCAGCGGAGCACCGGCCGTTGTGGTCACTTGGGGAGTGAATCATCGGGCAGAAGATCTTCCTCTCTGTCTCTCCTCTCTGTATATGTGACTTTGTAATAAAAAAAAAAAAAATCTTAAAAAAAAATCAACTGTCACAGTGGATCACTAAGAAACGATAAGTTTGTGGAGAAATATGATATACTACCTGGATATTTACACAATGTGAGGAAAAACAAAGCTGAAAACAAATATTTTACTTAAAAATTGACTTTAATTTTATTTCCAAAAGTCAACAAATACATATTCATGTCTAGCTTCTCTCCAAAACATTTTTTTTTCATAGATGCACAAGTTAATTTGGCATGCCAAACATCTTTTCCTTGGATTTTTTTTTTTTTGCATAACACAAAGGTGCAAATACTGTTCAGAATCGATTTACATCATCACTCAGAATCACTAGCATTTTATCATTGAAAAAAGAAAAGCTGCAAGGCTTAGTCTTTGGCATTTACATTTGATTCAGCAATATAATTAAAAACTTATATTTGTTTTTAAGAGAAACATTTGGAAGAAAAATTAATAGATTTTGCTTCTGTTTTGCTAAGAAACCCCTATATCAGTGCACTTAGCTCGATCTGAAGAGTTCCTGCTGGCAGGTATTACTTCCAGGCTGTTTATCAGCGTTTCCTTCTGTAGCCCACTATATGCTCTTTTTCTCCCCTTCTGCTTAGTGAAAGCACAGAAAAAACCAATTTCCCTTTTCTTCCCCTGCATCGTGCAAGCCGAGCAACCTCACAAGTCACGATATCTGAGTTTACTTTGTATTTTGATTCTTACTTAAAATTATTTTGTATTATAATACCTACTTGGTTATCTAAAAATCAACCTGATTAATTTTAAACTCTTACAGAGTCAGAATTTTAGAGGCCATGGAAACCATTCAGGAATCGTGTTTGAAAGGAAATAATTGCCTCCAACTTCTTTTCTGCATTTGAAGTAAAAGAATTTCAGGTATCATCAGTTCATTATAAAATCAGACTTGATAGAGTATATTTGATGTACTCACATCTTTTCATATAGTGTAAACAAGTATAGAACACTTCGACCGTAGCCTATAGGTGTGTGTGTGTATATAATACATTGTTTGGTACACGATATCTACCTGGAGAACATTTTAAATATGACCTGGTAGGTCTGTTATGAGACTTTGGGGGGGGGGAGGGGCGGGATTTGTATGAATTTGTTCTGGTAGAAAAAACCTTGTGGTGAGCGTAGATGGTATGTGAAGTTACATCTTTGTCATATCTATGATCTGATGCACAACAGAACCCAAAGACACATTGACCTCAGATTCCAAGCAGTGGGTTACAGTTTGTGCACAAGAGGGTCTTTAAGATCAGATAGTGGAAGAATGACCCGGGAGTCTCCTAAATCAATCAGTCATCAGCAATGTATAAATATGGAGTGCTGTTTTACAGAATGCAAATGAGATCAACTGGAAATTGAACTGTGATAGCCACATATTTTTGAGAAAAATTCCCAAGCCAGGCGAATGTGGATTGGGATGAAGACATAGGCAGTGTACACCACCATGGCAAAAATGGTTAGTAAAATGGTGTTGAACATAGAGCGCTCCCAGGGCTCCAAGACGGCACAGCAGCTAATAATCTGGTATTGATAGTAGAGCCAGGAGAAGTAGTCCTTCACACGTTTGAAATCCATCGTCGGCATCAAGTTGCAGAAAGTCTGTTGTGTTCGAGAAAGAAACAGGTTAGCAGGAAACAAGTAAAGAACCAAACACAGAATCTCTTTAAATTATCATGGTCTCATCATGTTAAAATCTCTTAAGGAATGTTAAATGTCATCGAAGGGATTATTAATTTGAATGTTATATAGAAATGATACAGAATATATCAATCATAAAATGAATAACATTGTCACTACCGATAACTACTACTAAAATTATTAACAGTGACATTATGGTAATGATCATTTCGATCTGAAAATACTTTTCAGTAACTCTAATAATAGCAGCACCTAGATACTGAGTCCAGTGGCCAGAGTGGTGGTTTAACAGGCTAATCTTCTGCCACCTGCAGTGCCTGCATCCCATATGGGTACTGGTTCTAGTCTTGGCTGCTCCATTCTGATTCAGCTCCCTGCTTACAAACTAGGAAAGCAGCAGAGGGTGACTGAAGTTCTTGGGCCCCTATACACATGTGGGAGAGCTAGAAGAAGCTCCTGGCTTTGGATCAGCTCAGCTCTGGCTGTTGCAGCTATCTGGGGAGTGAACTAGTAGATGGGAGATCCATTTTTCTCTTTCTCTGCTCTCTGCAAGTCTGCTTTCCAAATAAACACAAATAAGTCTTAACCTGAGGCGAATAATGTTTCTTTAGCCATGTATAGAAGAGTTCAAATGCGAACTTTTCTGTTTGCTGCTACATTCTGGTACATTTACCACATGCTGTACTAAGCTTGAGGTTGCCATTTACAGAGGGAGTACTGGCAAGCTTGCCTGGCAGGCTTCTGGTTACTTTGTTTTTTAATGTTACAGATAAGTGTAATTCACACAGTACAGGCCATATAATATACAGTGAACATTACTGTCTTCTGATAGTCTGGAATTTTGGTAATGGCTGGTTAAAGGGTGGCCAGCACCAATATGAAAGTTGGATGCTAAATTTCTGATGGACTTCCCTTGGCAGATACACTGTGCAACCTCATATATTACCACATCTGTTGCTAGTTCCACTCATGTGAACATCAGAAGCCTGAACATGATTGCTCTGGATTCTACCCCTTCCTTGTTGATCCTGTTGCATATTCTTTCAGTAAAATATCCCTTAGCTGTGAGTATAAATGCATATTCAATTCCGCAACTCATTCCAGTGAATCACTGAACATCATATAAATGTAGTTTATTGGCCTTCATATGGACTAACATTTATAACCACATAGAATTTTTCTTGGAAGGAAGAGTTTCTGCCATCTTTTAAAGACATCCCTGGGAAGAGCTTGCAGCTTCCATAGACAGAAAAGAACATAAAATTGCCTTTGTGCCTCTTCTGCCCTTAAGGACACAGTGAAATCATATGCTCAGTCGGCTTTGAGACCTCTCACTACTCCAGTTCCAGCTAAAACGTTTAGAACAGCAATTCTATTTTCTGACCTCGAAAGGTGTCTTTTTTATTTGTTAATATTCTTTGTGTTGAAAGAGAGATACTTTTGCTCTATAAAAATCTGTGGACTACTTGGAATATGGGAGGACCCCCACTGATCCTTGCACTCTATATTCCAGGACAATGCCTGGCCTACATACTGTCATTGAATGAATGCCAAGTAACCAACTCAGAGAAAGAATTACAGAGCATCCATGACCCCAAAGTGCAATATATTGAACTATTATTAATTTTAATGCAATTTAGCTTTGATAGAAACAAATCCATTTGGTTAGGGTCACTTCCATCAAAATTTAAGATGGAAAGTCCATGTCAGCAGGTGAAAGTTTTCTGCAATTATGGCCGAATCATTTATTATAAAAGCATAATGCAACGACAAAGCACTTTTACTTTCCTATGAAACAAAAAATCAGCCTGCCAGGTCTCCCAGAAAACAGTAGGAACTAAACAACTGCATTTAAATGTCTGGTCTTGGTAAGCGGGTTTCAGGGAGAAGCTAACTCCATTTTTTTTTTTCTTCCACATCTGGTTACACAGAAAGAGACAAGTGGAAAGGATCTGGAAGAAAATGATGTTAAGTGTCCATCTGCTTGTGGCACTACAACATAATAATGGGACTGTGTCATTCATAAGCAATGGGAATGTGCTTTTAACAGTTCTGGGGACTAGAAAGCTCAAGGTCAAAGTGACATCAGACTCAGTGTCTGGTTGCAGGTCCAGTCTCTGCTTCCAAGATGGTGCTCTGAATTCTGTGTCCTTACAACAGCGGAAAGACAGAAAGACAAAAAGGCCCCAAGTTTGTGAGGTCTCTTTTGTAATAGTCTAGATCCTATTTCCTAGGGAAGAACCCTTGTGACCTAACCACCTCCTGGGACCTCTTCTTTCCATACTCCTGCACTCTAGATTAAGTTTCATCAGACTTTGGAAAGGATGTGAACATTCAAGCCATAGCAAGATGATAAGTTCAGTGAGTTATATTATCCAAGCAAACAAGATTCCCCACAGAGAGACTAACACAAATAGACCTTAACACCACTTGAACTTTTAGACTACTCACTAGACAATAGTACATTTGAGCTATGCTTAATCTAAAAAAATCATTTTCATGGTTACTGGGGCAGAGCCGCATAACTGAACAGGTATGTGGGATCCAGTCATTAGATGTCTGGGCCCGAGCTATGCTGGGTGAAGGTGACTTAATGATGGTGCAGACACAGTCTTTCCCCTAAGGGAGTGTGGAACAGATGAGAAAATGGATAGGAAACAAATTATATATGTAAATTTGTAATGGAAAAGAACATTGTATGAGGGTTTGTGGGAAACCTGATCTAGTGTGAGCTTGGAGAGGAGGTGTGAGGAAGTGTGATTCAGTGTCAGGAAGAGATATTTGAAGTACAATTCAAGGGCTGATTGTGAGCCAAACTGAGAAAATGAACAGAGATGAGAACAGCTAAGCAAGAAGGACGAGCTTATGGAAGGGTTAGAGATGGGGAGGAATTTGGAAGGTAATCAACAAGATCAGGGAATGGGGCCCAGGCAACAGGGAGTGGAATAAGTTTGAAATGGGAATGGCCAGAGTGAGGCCAGCTGCTGAGCTGGACAAACTGCCTTTTTAGCATTTCCCTGTGAGTTGGGGAGGCCCAGAGGTTATTCATAGGGAGTGTTGTGGTGGGTTTAAGAGGAGTAAGCTTTATGCTGTCATAATGAGCTGTTTTCTATAGCCAGCTTGAAATGATTTTGAATATCAGGTGATTCAGACAGTCTTCCCATGGCTATTTCTTATCCAGAATCAACTATGTGTTGAGAATCTGTTTAAAATATGTTTAACATTCTTCATTTTTACAAATGAGGTAATAACGCTCACTTGGAAATATAATTGACCTTCTCCCTATACACTGCAGATTTGAAAATGCACTAGTTAATCTCCTGGACATTTATTTCTCTTTTAAAATTAAATATCTTGCTTGGGCAGCCCCAGCAGACATCTTGATTCCAGCTTTTTAAGAGACTCTGAGCTGGAGGGTCTGACCTTTAGGAAGCGAGCTAATCCACACTCTTTGTTCTAAGCTGCTCATTCACCTGAGGGGACCACAGACAAAATAATCATGTTGGCAAATAGATGGGGACTTTTAAGGAAAGTCCGAAGTATGAATAGACTATATGCAGCCTTCAAAAATATTTTGTACCAAAACAAATTTAACTAATTTTTTAAAAAGATTTGTTTTATTTTTATTCATAGAGAAGGAGGGAGATACAGAGATCATTCATTCACTGATTAATCCCTAAGTGACTGTAATGGTTGGAGCTGGACTCGCCCAAAGCCACGAGCCAGGAGCTTCTTCCAGCTTTCCTATATGGGAGTAGAGGCTCAAGGACTCGTGCCCTGCTCTACTGCCTTCCTAGGCCATAAGCAGGGAGCTGGACCAGAAGTGGAGTCACTGCTACTCCAACTGAACTGGTGCTCATATGGGCTGCTGGCTCCACACGTGGAGGTTTAGCCTGATATGCTAAATCACTGGCTCAGAAATTTATCTTTTATCTATCTATCTATCTATCTATCTATCTATCTATCTATCTATCTATCATCTGTTTATCTACTTTATTGATGGGTGCTATGTTAAAGATTATTTGTGGGGTTGGCACCATGGTATGGCAGGCTAATCCTCTGTCTGTTGTTTTAACATCCCATATGGGTGTCGGTTTAAGTCCCAAGTGCTCCATTTCTGATCCAATTCCTTGCTAATGTTTCTGGAGAGGCAGCAAAGGATGGCTTAAGTGCTTGAGCCCATATACCAATGAGGGACACTTGGAAGAAGCTCCTGGATTCTGGCTTCAGATCACTTTAGCTTAAACCATTACAACCATTTGGGGAGAGAACCAGTGGATGGAAGATATGGAAAGTCTCTCTCTTTTCTCTCTGCAACCTTGCCTTTCAAATTAGAAATAAACCTTTTTAAAAAGATAATTTGCTAGGTCTGGTGCAATAGCTCAACTGCATCTTCCCCTTGCAAGTGGCAGGATTCCATATGGATGCTAATTAGTTTCCTGGCTATTCCACTTCCCACCTAGCTCCCCACTTGTGGACTGAGAAAGCAGTGGAGGATGAGTCAAAGCTTTGGGACCCTGTGCCCACAAGGGAGACCAAGTAGAAGCTCCTGGCTCCTGGCTTCAGATTAGCTCATGTCTGGCCACTGCGGCCATTTGGGAGTCAACCAGAGGATGGAAAACCTTTCTCTTTGTCTCTCCTCTCGGTAAATCCGTTTTTCCAATAACAATAAATATACATTTTATAAAATAAAAAAGATAATTTGTTGTTTCCTATGTAAAGGTAAGAGTGGTGAGAGTTGGTTATTATTGGTAAGCAAGCTGCTGTAGCTTATTAAAATATGCACAATTTTATGTTTCAGATTTTCTCAGGTAATATGTTCTCCTTTCTGTGGGTTCATTCTAATATCTTCTACCGTACTACATGTGACATTAAAAAAAAAAAACCTTCAGGTAACTTGATGAGCAATGTGTGTGGGAGATTTCACTCATTCATCGAGAGAATACACTGAGGAC